ACCCCTGAAAAAATTCTGCCAGAGAGAAGGAGAAAAAGGCTAAATGTGGGGGTAGTGTCACCATTTGTTTTCTAGCTGCCATGCTAGACAATTAACCTTTCTGTGGCAGGATCTATGAAACCTCACTAGGTGATCCTGTGCTGGAAGAGTTCTGATCTGCATAAAAAGCCTGTGTGGGGAAGAAGCACTTGAGTTGTTACAGTTTTCTCCTCTTCACAACAGAATTGTAGTCTGATGGAGACAAGGTAAGTTAAATAAAGGGGCAGATGTGTTCCATTCGTGTGCTATATGGAACACACAGGAGTGGGAGAGCAGAAGTGTGGCTTTATGGTTAAAGGTCTGGTCTAGGAATCATGCAGAGTGAGCTTAATTCTAGCTCAGTCACAGACTCCCTGGGTGACTGACGAGACACTTAACCTCTGTCTCACTTCCCCATGGGTAAAAAGAGGGTGATAATCCTTCCTTTCCTCTCACCCATTGTCTGGCTTGTCTGTTTAGATTGTAAACGCTTTAGAGTGGGGATTGTTTGCACTGGGTTTGTATGGTGTCTGCCACACTGGAGCCCTGATCTCAATAAGGGCTTCTAGATGCCACTCTAGTACAAATAAATAACGAGGAGCTGCCAGTCCCAGAGGCAGTCTAAAGACAGAAGTGTAGTTGTAAAACACTAGGTGATAAAACCTATTGCAGTGCAGGTAATAACGTTGGAGAATAACTAATGGCACTTCTGTAAAAACTAGAACAAGATAAACAGGGCACACATTAAATGGATTAAAGGCTGCCTAACTGATAGGTCTCAAAATGGAATTGTAAATGAGGAATCCTCATCAAGCAGGTGTGTTTCTAGTGGTGTTCTCTAAGAATCAGTTTTTGGCCCTATACCTTTTAATATTTTTATCAGTGACCTGGAAGGAAACATAAAATTGTCACTGATAAAGTTTGCAGATGATGCAAAAATTGGAGGAGTGGTAAATAATGAGGACAGGTCACCGAGATACAGCCATCTGGATCATGTCGTAAACTGGGCCCAAGCAAACAATATGTGTTTTAATGTGGCTAAATGTATACATCCTAGGGACAAAGTGTAGGCCATACCTACTGAAGAAGGGACTTTATTTTGGGAAGCAGTGACTCAAAAAGATTTGGGGTTCGTGGTGGATAATCAGCTGAACAGGAGCTCCCACTGTGGCACTGTTGCTAAAAGTGCTAATGTGATCATTGGATGCATGAACAGGGGAATCTTGGGTAGGATTAGAGAGGTTATTTTACCTCTGTTTGGCACTGGCAGGACTGCTGCTTGAAATACTGTTCTGGTATCTGCTATTCCAGAAAGACACTTATAAATTGGAGAGGGTTCAAAGAGGAGCCATGAGAATGATTAAAGGATTAGAAAACAAACTTTATAATTATACTCAAGCAGCTCAATCTACTTTGCTTAACAAAGAGAAAGTTAAGGGGTGATTTGATTACAGTCTGCAAGTACCTACAGGGGGAACAAATATTTAATAATGGGCTGTTTAATCTAGTGGAAGAAGGTATAGCACAAGCCAGTGGTTGGAAGTTGAAACTACACAAATTCCCACTGGAATTAGGGGTAAATTATTACCAAGGGGGTGTGTGGATTCTCCATCAATGACAATTTTAAAATCAAGATTGGATGATGTTCTACAAGATCTGCTGTAGGAATTATTTTGGGGCAGTTCTCTGGCCTGCATTATACAAAAGGTCAGATTAGATTATCGCAATGGCCCCTTTTGGCCTTGGGATCTATATAGGTGGGAGTGGTAGCCACTCAGGTTTCATAAAATGAGCTTTCATTTTATCACAACTGAATTTGTAGGCCCAAAAGTTGTGAAGAAAATCTTAAAAGCATGAATGAAGTGCAAACTTGGCTCAGTGTTTTCTTCCTGAGTCTGCAGCCAGCCTGAAACAATAGGTCTGAGAGCTGTGAACTACCCCACTTATCTCAATAGGATGTTTACACTGAACCCAACAATGGCCATTTAAGTGTCAAAGTTGACTATTTCATGGCCAATCATTTTAGTAGTAACACCCCACTCCTGTGTTTATTTAATCTCTCTAAAATGCCTTCCCAAAAGTTGCCCAAAACTCCAGCTCTCGCTACTGACAATTTCTTTGCTACAGTTTTGTGTTGTCCACAGAAAAATCCATGGAATGTGGAAACAATGTAAATGTGGGGATTCAATGTATTTATAGAGCTGACTATTAAAATCACTAGTACAGGTGTACTATACGAAATGTTACTCATTTTCATATTTAATTAATTAACCACCACCCCTATTTTGTAATGTAAATTGTCACTGCATGGTCCCCAGTCTGTTGCATCAGTCATACAAAATCCAGGGACCTTGGAGCAGGATTTGGAATCAGACTGCCCAAGAGTAAATAGGTCAGGTCTTGGGTGTGAGTGGTTAAGGACGGCCAAGTGCCAAGTACTGGCCATATGTATCATGCAGGCATCATTTGTCTGTAACTAAATTTTTCCAGAGGTTAGTCAGAGCCTCCCTCAAGTGTAGGAGTATTGGTTTTCTTTTTCTTTCAGTCATTTATAAATACATTTCAGCTCTTAAGGAGAAAATGCCTTCAAAATCTAACACCACCTGTAGAAATTAACATGCCAGTCTAGCTCCTCATCTAAAGAGGAAATGTGATAATCCTCCCCCTTATTCACATGCATGCAAACTGATGTTCATGTGTGTATTTGCATACATGGTTATATATGCATATGCATGCATGTTAGCTATACACGATGGGTGCAAGCATGCACCCAGTTTATGCACTCTTGTGCACACAGGCTTATACATGTGGACACACATGCAACAGGCTTATACATGTGGACACACATGCAATGGACTTTTGCACCTCTTCGGCTACGCTTGGGTTTATTTACATCCACACTTATGCACAGGTTTGCAGATGTGCCGGCAAGATTTTCACATTTGCATGCTGTTGTGGAGGGAGAATTCTGTTGAGAGGATATGCAGAAACTTGCATTGCCACTGGTCTGAAGTGACTTACCTCAAGCACATCACGTTGTTTTACGTCCTACTCTTGGTTTAGATTAAAACCAGGCTGAGGGGGGAAAAAAGAGGGGAGGTGGGGGCCAGCTGAACCAATGAAATACAGGAGACAAGGGTCCCCTGAATCTGGAGAGAGGAGACTTGATTAATTGAAAAGGGAGGCAGTTTTAAATAAGAAGGAAAATGGACTTCTGCATTGCTTTGTCACCTTCCCATCCAGGCCATCCTTCCCCTGACCGTTAGCCGAGCTGGAAACCGGACTAATATTGCAAAGCGAGGGGAAGCAGCCAAAACAACCCACCAAGAATCACGCGATGCTCAGTGTCGCTGCAGCGTGGGTTACAAAACCCGGGCACAGAACAGAAGTCAACTCCTTCCCACCCCAACTTATAACAGCAGCGAATTGGAGGGGGGTTGCACCCCCAAATCTTCCCTCCCCTACCGTTTTGCAGGGAGCCACTAAGGGAGCCGTATCCAAATGAGCTGCCTCCCGGCAGCCAACCAAAAAGGGGCTTCTGGGCGTGGCCTTCCTCTACTTCCCAGGGAAAGTTTACATGCTTTGTTTTTTAAAAAAAGGCAGCGGCCGATGAGCTGGAGCCGGGCCTGAGCTGGTGCAAGGTAAGTGAAGTGCCGAGGGGGTGTGGGCAGGGGAAGGTTGGGTTGGACTAGATCCCACTCCTATAGGGTGAGTGTGTTACGCCGTTATGAAGTGATTGTTTCTATTTTCTGCATGAATAGTCACAGCCCTTATCTTGAGCTATTTTTGCTAGTGATCTGCAAGTGCTTCACAAAGCGTGGGTGTCACCCCCCATTTACAGATGGGCAGCCTCGGGCCCAGAGAAAGATGATTCGTCCCAATCAGCAAAACCCCAGGAAAAAAAATAAGTGTTACCCATGGCCTGGAACTGGGAGTGAATGCCAGTGCTTTTCTCTTACTGCCCTTCCAAACAAACCCTCTCTGCATGGCAATTCTAAAGACAAGGCAGGGTGATTAAACAAGCTGAAAAACATGTCGCGCGAGTTTGAGGAGTCAGCCTGTGGGGCCAAGAAGTGGCTATTGTGTGTGATTTACCTGGCACCTGCAGTGAATTAGTGCAACAGTTACCCTAAGAAAACCGTATCTGATTTTAGTTTGGGTGCTTGGGAGAGAAAATTAAACCTCTGGTCAGCAGCACTGCTCTAAGTTCTGATGATGAGCAGAGAAGCTGCATGATAGCCCCAGGGATCTTCCTCAGCTGGCTGTCTTTGACAGACAGTTTTTGCAGATTTCAGAGTAACAGCCGTGTTAGTCTGTATTCGCAAAAAGAAAAGGAGTACTTGTGGCACCTTAGAGACTAACCAATTTATTTGAGCATAAGCTTTCATGAGCTACAGCTCACTTCATCGGATGCAGTTTTTGCAGAGTAGCAACTGGGTAAGCTGCTCCACAGGAAGAGAGAGTACCCCTGAAGGGGAGGATATATGGCAGCTCTAGTATCCCAGCCCATGCTGAGCTAGGCGGCCTTTGGGAGTAAGGCTCCGAGGATCAGCTTTGGAATTGCACTTTTGGTGCATTGTAGCTAGTAAATATCCCACTGATCTGAATAGATTAGCTCAGGGAAAGGCTAAGCAGGTTTCTAAAGCTCCTAAAGCACTTGCAAATAGTCCTTATGAGCACATGATCACTAAGATCCCTCTTTTGTCTTCTGCAGGAGCCCCAGATCAGGACATCTGCTGGAAGGTATTGAGATATTCCATCCCTTTTAAAGAAGACTCAAATCAGGCCAGTCTGCCAGGAATCACTGAGGTGGTGATGTAGTTTCCCCTCCTAAAAAAGCTCCAGATAAGAACATTCCCTGCCTGCCAACACTGGCATATTGATGGTATTTCTCCTTCTAAGGAACCCAAGATCAAAACATTTCCTACTGGGGCCGTGAACACCAGGCTGTTAATAAAGTTCCTCCTTCTAAATGAGCCCCAGACCTGAATACTTAAGTATTGAAGTGTCTTGTCTCTTGAGCCTTTATTGCTTCTTTTCTTTGCAGTTCCCTCCCTAAGGCAGCACACCTGAGGAAACGTCTTTCCCCTGGCATGGGCTATGTCAGACTTTGTAGAGCATGCCCCTTGTGAGAACTTTGAGGCCAATGTGTTTGCCAAGAGCCGATGCCAGAATTGTTTTCGGGCAGTTGGTGCTCACCACCAGCCCAGCAACCAGGTGAGCTTTTCATGTGACCTGGAGGGCTATGAATATTTCATGAGAGGCTCCATTGTTTTGGGCTGTGACTGCCTGAGTTCAGTGGATGCAAATTCTCAACACTGTCGCCCAATGAGGCTTTTTGGATTTCACTGGGGGGGCTGAAATTTCCTCTGTGCACAGAATCCATCATTTAATTACTCCCTAGTGCTCTGATGAATTCTGAGCCCTGATCAAAGAGGGGACTAGTGCTGTACTACCAGGAAGGGAGGTCTGGAAGTTAGGATTGAGGTGCATTCATTGGCTGTTCTGCGTGGGAAGTCTCAGGGCTGGAATAGCAAGTGGGGGGTGGCAGGTCAGGATTGAGAGGCATCGGTGAATAGTGAGTATGGGGGAAAGGTGGGACTGGAATAGCAGAGCCAATACAGATCAGGATGGAGATGTAGGCTTAAAGCTATGCATGTGTAATAGTGGGGGGTGCTACCGTATGTTTAAAATTTTCCTTTTGAGGAAAGCCATTGGTGCAGGATGGGGAAAGGATACAGAGCCTTTCACCTTGTCACTGCTTGAAGCAGCCCGAGTTAGTAGAGACTGAAGGTCTGATGGCCTCTGGCACCCACATCACAACTGACCCTGATTGGTCCCCTTGCTGATAGTCTCAGCAGAGAAGCCAAGGTCTGAACAGACCATGGAGACCAAACTCTCCTTCATCCCCAGGGCAGGGCGAGGTGCATTAGTGAGGACTGGTGCCAGTGAGGCTCACACTGCAGCTGTCCCTGCTGTACATGTCTGAGGGACAGAAGACTTTGGTCTCCCAGGCTGTTGATCAGACACATTTCATCAGTGCCAAACTCACTTTAGAAATGCACTGTGGGCCAGGTGTGTCACCTGTCTGCTCCCTGCCCTGCTGCTAGTGGGAGAGCGTGATGCCCCATCCCAGCATGGGGTGCCAGCTGGTTTCATGTTCACAGAGGGCTTCGTGTTGTTCATTGTTCTCTGGGAGTGATCAGCCCAGGATTATGAAATAGTAATGAGGCTCCTACTCTCTCTGGCTCTGGGCCTCTAGAGTTACCGCTCCCTTGCCTGCGATCTGCTCAGAGCTGTCTCCTCTGAGCGAATCCCAGCGAGGGCGACACAATGGAGGGAAAGCTGCGCTGACAGCCAGGCTGCTTGGAACCTTCCCCCTCGCTGCTCCTATGCTGGGAAGGTAACTGGGCTTGGGAGAAGGGGGAGGCCAGCACCCTGGGGAAATGCCAGAGCCCTTATAGAGCGGGAGAGGGAGGGGCGTTGGCTCCAGTCCTCCCTTCGGACTACACCCTCCTCCCCCCGGTCGGGGCATCAGTTCTCGTGTGATGGGCAGTGTCTGACCTCCTGAGCAAAGCCAGACTCTGGCATTTCCCACTTGTTTGGTGAGCCTGGCAGGTGACAGCTGTAACAGAGGGCACTTATCTGATCAAGTTAAGTCCTGGGGCTCTCCTGGGAAGGTTTCCCCTTCCTCCTCCTGGCCTGACACCCCAGATATCCCTCTCCTCCACCATGTCCTTCAAGTGTTCGCTTGGATTCAGTGCCCCATCCCTCTTTTCCCTCACTCGATCTCTGTCTTGGGGTGACTGGATCCCTAGGAGATGGAAGGTAACTGCTCCAGCATCCAACAGGGCCTTGCTAGGCCTCTCTCTGGACTGCTGAGGAATGAGAAGAATAGCTTGAATGTGAGAGATCACGGAACAGTGAGGGGATCCAGCACTCCTGGAAGCAGGCTGGTGTTAGGGAGATGCCCTGAGAGACAGGGTAGGAATGAAAGGAAGGAGGATGAGACTGATAAGAAAGGCAACCTCCCCACTAGCCCTTGGAACGGTGGAGTCACCAGTACCTCCCCTTCCTCCCTGCAGGTGCCAGAGGAACATACTGTGGAGGCCCCACACAGTGGTGCCACCTGTGGGCCAGACCCAGGTGGACTTTGGGACCCCGTGTGCATCTTAGCTCCCCAGTGTGAGTTGTATGTGTGTGCGGGCTTCGACGAGGGGACTGAGGGGTGAGTATTGAACTGTGGGAGGGGAAGCACTTCGCTGACAGGGATCCCTGCTAGGTAAATAATATGGGGAGGGGAGGGGTAGATGTTATCCCATGATAGGAGAAGGTAGGTGGGTGTCTTACCGTTGATCCCTGCTTGTTGTGCAAGGGGCAGATGGGGCAAACTCTGAAAACCCACCATCACCAGTGGCACTAGCCAGGCTCCTCACTGGCAGACTCAGTAGAGGCCAAGGGCTGAATGGGCCATGGAGACTGGACTCCCCTCTTCCTCAGCCTCTCCAGAGCCGGTCTGTGGCCCACTGGCAGAGTGCGACATGTGGGGAGCCCTCGCTGACACTGTCCAGCCTGGCCCGCTCTGGGGATTGAGGAGTTGGGTCTCTAGGGCTGTTTAATCTGGGCCGTTCCAGCAGAGCCGCGCTCACGCAGCTTTCCATGCCTGCCCGCGGTAACACGTTCAGCTGAACAATCACCACCAGCTGTTTGTGTTTCCCTGCCTCACAGCTGGCAGGAGAGCTTGGTGTACACCCAGCTCAGCAGCCGAGCCCAGGACAAGCACGGAGAAACCAGCCCCAGTACTGATATCTGCACCGACCCCGGAACCAGCGCCACGCTCTCTGGGGTGAGATGGGGTCGTCTTGTCTTTTGGATTGGGCTGTTTGATTCCCCCTATGCCTTAACCCCTCAGACCACTTTCCCTGGGCTCCTGAGATGAGCAGAACCCAAAAGATAAAGGGTAAATAGGCCCGTATTGAGATATTCTGGGGAACTGCAGAGTGCTGGGTAATTGGGTGTGGGGAGGATAGATGTTGATGTCATAGGCACAATCCCAAGGGACCTTTAATACCCACAAAGTAAACTCCCCTAAAGAGCACATCAGCTAATGCTGGGAGTCCACATTTATTCTCAGGGCTCAGACCATTCCCCACAGCACCCCCTATTGGCTAAGGCTGAGACAGGAATAACTGATTGTTCCCCCAAGCCAGTATTCCTACACCATTCCCTATCATGCTTGCTGAAGATAGAGGTTGGCCGTGGAGTAACGATGCACTCGCAATAGCTAGCATGTCTGTACTACTCCCTGCAGTGCCTCCTACTGGAAGAGTCTGGGATTGAAGTGGCTGTGAGCTCCACACAGCACGTGTAGCTGCATCATTCCCCATAGCACCTCCAGCCAGAAGAGTCTGGGACAGTAGCTTTCTGCATCCTTTGTACCGACGTGGTCTGTTTCATTCCTCAGGACTGTGAAATGACCAGGCTGCTGGACAGCATTTTGGGATTGGGCAAACAAGACATGATGAACTACACTGGCCAGAGGAAAGAGGTGCAGATTGGAGCCCTGCAGTCAGACAGACCCAGGTGGGGTCAGACCATATCCTGTGGATCCTGGGGGAGAACAGAGTCCCAGAGCTTCATGAAAGAAATCTCCCCTCGGAAAGCAGGTTTGGTTTTCTCCTGCCGTAGACCATAGTTCAGGATATAGGTGGCTCATTCTCCATGTGGGGTTAGTCTTGGAGTCTCTGGATCAAGGCTCTATTTAGATTGTAACCTCTTTGGGGCAGGGATTGTCTCTTACTCTGTACAGTGCCTGGCAGAATGGGGTCCAGTCTCAGCTGGTCCTTAGGCACTACTGTATTAAACGTGATAAATAGTAACAATAGAGCCCAGGGTCTGTGCAGTTTTGCTCCAGTGTCCCTATGCTTCTCAGCCTCGCCTGCAGTTCTCAACCCAATGTCTGTGCAGTTCTGGTTTTGAAGTCTTTGTGGTTCTTGGTGTCCAAGTGCTCCTAGCCTAGCAGCTGCAGTTCTGAACGCAGTGTCTGCAGGGTACTAGGTCTTGTCCATGTTGTTCTGGATTGTCTCTGGCTCTTATCCCAATATCCACTTTGTATCAGATCTGACCCACTGCTGGTTTTGGCCACGCTGCTCCTGTGTGAGGGAGGGGATGTATCTGCCTCTTGGAGATTCCCTAACCTCAATCTTCTGTTTCCCTCCCAGAATCCAGTCCTGGGAGGCAGAGCGCTGGAGATGGCTGGGGAAAGCATCAGATGGAGAGCGGTTATTTCTCTCTGGAACGCCGGAAATCTGACCCCACCTGGGTCTCCTCCCCGCCACGAGCCAGCCATGGTGCTTTGCCCATGCTCAGTGACCCGATAAGGGCTGGCAGGCGTCTCACTTCCTCCGTCAGCTCATTGGACTCTGACCTACCTGGGTACACGAGGGGCGGTGGCGAGGAGCGACATGGCCTGGTGCGGCAGGAATACATGGTGTTGGCTGATCTGCCCAAGCCCAAGCGGATCAGTCACAGGGAGGCATTTGACCAGGAACGCAGCAGCTCCCGCACTCGGAGCCCAGGCCGGGCAGAGGTGGAGCGGATCTTTGGATACGAGCGCAGGTGAAACATGGAGCGGGGGTGTGTGTGTGTTGTGTGTGTTTTTAACAGGTGAGCTGTCCCAGGGTTGATATCACCGAACGCCTGATTTTTGGAGGTACGTGAGCGCCCACTGCTCTGCTGAGTGCCTGCAAGTCAGCCCCTCCCATTGGTGCTCACATTGAGTTTAAATATGGCTCTCTAACTCAGTTTAAAGACTAGTGTAGACGGGGCTGGAGGCAGGGCCTCCATCCCTCTGTGTGGGGCCTCCTGGGAACTTCCAAATCTGAGTGTTAAAGTTATAGTGTCCATAGCTGGCAGGGTGAGGATGTGGGGAGAGGAAATGGAGGGAAGAGCAAGTCTAAGGTGTGAGAGTTTAGATGGGGAGGAGAGATGACGGTGGATACAGAGCACGAGTGGAAGTAAAAACAGAGTGGACAGTCTCGTGGTTGGGGTGGGAAATAGGAGGGGTAGATGGGGTGTGGAAAGCATTATTGGGGTGCAGAACATGAGGGGGAAAGGAGCCATGAGGGTGAGTGGAGAGCATGCCTAGGGATCATGGGGAAGATAGGGAGTGTATTGGGTCTGAGGAGATGCAGGTAATTGAGGAGTGTAGAGCATGTGGGGGATGGTTGATGTAGAAGAGAGCTCAGAATGGGAGGCAGATATGGGCACAGACAGAGCAGTTCATGTTAGACTCTGATGAAGCTGGGAACCCAAACTCAGAAATATGGTATCACACTCTCTGTCCTACTGTGGCTTGTGAAGGCTAGGGCTGGTGAGGACTCTTGAAGCCCAGACAGAAGAGCACCTGTGATTGTCTTTGTGTGTGGTTGTTAGGAAGTCTGAGACGCTGGAGGCGTTCCAGGCCCTGGAGGAGGGCCTCCTGGACCGGCTAGATGGCAAGACCCCACTGCTGGCCAAAGAAGGTCGATTAGGCAGGAGGCAGTCCAGCCCCAGCCTGTACAGAGAGGTGAGTTGCTGGACTCATCACCAGCCCCTTCCTTAGCCAGATAGCAGTAGACACAGCCCAGCCCTGGCTTCCTTTCAGCAAACATCTTCTCAAGCTGTGTCTTGTCCCCATCACCTTTTCTGTTCTCTCTCTGTGCCACACAACTCTGTCTTCTTCTCTTATTATCACCTCCACTCCTCCCTTTCCACTTGATTCCCAGATCCTTCTCTGTCCCCATCCCCTTTCTCTGTGTGTGCCCCACTTCTGTCCCTATTGCAAAATTAGACCACTGCTCCTTCACTGGTTGGGTGAGAGGGGCCACTTCTTTACGCATGGGAGAGGCTGCTCTGCTTGTGTGCAGTTGCATGTGCACTCCACTGCCCCCTATTGGAGCTTAAGACATGTTGATGTTTGAAAATTCTCTCTGGGGGCGGAGCTAAGTGCTGCAGGTAGGTCTGTGCATTACTGCCCCCTACTGTAATACAAAAACAACGAGGAGTCCGGTGGCACCTTAAAGACTAACAGATTTATTTGGGCATAAGCTTTCATGTGTAAAAAACCGACTTCTTCAGATGCATGGAGTGACAATTACAGATACAAGGCATAAATATATATTGGCACATGAAGAGAAGGGAGTTACCTTACAAGTGGAGAACCAATAATGAAGCCCAATTCAGTCAGGGTGGATGTAGTCCACTCCCAGTAATTGAGGAGGAGGTATCAATACCAATAGAGGGAAAATTGCTCTTGTAGTGAGCCAGCCACTCCCAGTCCCTATTCAAGCCCAAATTGATGGTGTTTGATTGAAGTTTGCAAATGAATTGTAGCTCTGCAGTTTCTCTTTGAAGTCTGTTTTTTGAAGTTTTTTTTTTTCTTGAAGAATGGCTACTTTTAAATCTGGTATTGAATGTCCAGGGAGATTGAAGTTTTCTCCTACTGGCTTTTGTATGTTACCATTCCTGATGTCTGATTTGTGTCCATGTATCCTTTTACGTAGCAAAAAGTATAATACAATACTGTAATACAATGTACTGTAATACAGTGGCCCTGCTGACATACAGTAGTGCCCCTTCCTTTGTAGGCCATCAGTAACAAGATCCAAGGGCTGGAAGTTGAAGGTAGACAAATTCAGACTGGAAATAGCATGTAAATTTTTAACAGTGAAGGTAATTAACCACTGGGACAATTTGCCATGGGCTGTGGTGGATTCTCCATCACTGGCAATTTTAAAATCAAGATTGGATGTTTTTTTACAAGATCTGCTCTAGTTCATAAACGAATCCTTTGGGGAAGATCTATGGCCCATGTTATGCAGGAGGTCAGACTAGGTTATTATATAGTGGTTCCTTCTAGCCTTGGAATCTATGAACCGAATGGTCTCCATGTGCTAATTGCCTCTTTCTCCGAATGTGCATGAGGGATGTGGACAAGCTCGTTAGAGAACTCATTCCTTTATCCTTCCTCTGATCTCATCCCTAGGGGAACAAGAGGCTCCCACAGCAGCTGGAGCAGCATGACAGAGGCAGAGGAGAAGCCCTGCGCTCAGTGAGCCTGGCTTGGCGATCAGAGAGAGACTGGAGGAGCCGAGTGGAGTCCATGTGCCACGTGAGTACAGATAAGTGCCTGGATAGAGAAAGGGTGCCTCTTCAGCCCTCAAATCCTGAAAAACACACAGATAGTAACTGGAAAAGCCAGAGGGATTCCCTGCACCCCACAAACTCCGGGAAGAGTTCAGATTACAGTTGGACTGGCCGAGGGGGGCACCTGTGCTTCGTGAGTCCTGGGAAGCAGACAGAGAGCAACTGGAAGAGCCCAAGGGAGACCCACCCTCTGAGTCCAGTGACGAGGACTGAGAGAAAGGGGAAAGGTGCAAAAGAGCCCCTGCACCCTGTGAGTGCTGGAAAACACATGAGTGAACGACAGAGCCTAGAGAAGAAACGCCACCCTGTGAGTCTGGGGAAATGCACAGAGCGTGATCAGAAGGGCCACGGCAAATCACTGCGCCCCGTGAGTCCAGCCGGGAAGCCAGAGAGGGACTGGAGTAGCCAGGCAGAGACCCTGCGCCCCAGGAGTCCAACTAGGCAGCCGGAGAGGGACTGGAGGAGCCAGGCAGAGACCATGAGTCCAGCCGGGAAGCCAAAGAGGGACTGGAGGAGCCAGGCAGAGACCCTGCGCCCCAGGAGTCCAACTAGGCAGCCGGAGAGGGACTGGAGGAGCCAGGCAGAGACCATGAGTCCAGCCAGGAAGCTGGAGAGGGACTGGAGGAGCCGGGCAGAGACCCTGCGTCCCAGGAGTCCAACTAGGCAGCCGGAGAGGGACTGGAGGAGCCGGGCAGAGACCCTGCCCCCCAGGAGTCAAACTCAAAGATCAGAAAACAACTGGAAGACCCAAGAGGAGTGTTTGTGCCACATGAATCCAATGCAACAGCTAGAAAGGGACTGGAGAAGCCAAGGAGAATGTCTGTACTCAGTGAGCTCAGGGCACCAACCAGAGACCATGAGGAAAAGCCCTGTGAGTCCAAGTCAAAGGTCAGAGAGTGACTGGAAGAGCCATGAGCGGTCCCTAGACTTAAGCTCAGAGAAGCAATTGGAGAATGACAGGGGCAAAGAGGAGACCCTCTTGCATCAAGTGAGTAGATCTATGGAGGAGTGAGAGTCCTGAGGGAACCCGTGGCTGATGGGAATCCCTCCCCCAGCAGATCCAAACCCTGGCAATCAATCCTCAGTTTCCACAGAGCTGGAGAATCCCATTCTTTGCAGCCCCACCCAATGAATAGCACAGAGGTTGGCTTCTCCTCTGGTGTTCAGCTCTGGCCCATTCCTTGTGATGCCTCCTGCTGGCCAGGACAGAAATAGAGCTCTGCCCCTGCATTTTACCCTTTCTCCTGGTGTCCCCTATTGGCCTGAATGAAGAGTGCTTTGTCCTCAGCACTCTGGGGATGAATTTCTGCAGGAGTATGCTGGGAGATGGGCACATGCTTATGGAGAGCGTGGGAGAGGGCAGAATCCTAGGGCTTAGATCCTGATTTCTCTCCCTGTAGTCCCAGCTAGATCGAGGCACACCCCAACCCCTCAACAATGCCAGCTCCATGGGAAGCCAAGATCTTTATTTGAACACTAACGGGCAACGCAAAAAGGTACTCCAGAAACTGGGGAGGAAGGGGGCACTGGGGCGGGGGAGAGCGTGGTGTATGTGTGTGTGCATGAGGGAACCTGTCAGAAGCTCCCAGAGGGAGTAGGATGACAGGGAATTGGCTGGGTCATTCTCTGTGACAAAGGCTGTTGGCCTCTCATGCAGGTGCTGTCTCAGCATGCAGCACCTCTCTCTCTCTCTCTCTCTCTGACACCATGTCTGAGCGAGTCTCTGCTTGAAAGGCAGCTGTGAGGCACTGAATTGCTGTTTTTTGTGAGAGGTGGGTAAATGTATTTGCAATTGCACCTCCCCCTCCCAATCCATTTCCCATGCTTGTTAGCACATTATACACACTAATTCTTCCAATACCACTCCATTAGGCAGGAAAACATTACTCCCCCTATTTCACAGGTGGGGAAACTGAGGCCCAGAGAGGCAAAGCGATGTGCCCAAGGCCACAGTGAGAGTTGGTGGCATAACTGGGTTTAAAATGCGAGAGTTTCTGGCTCCCAATGTTGAGCTCAGCCCAACCTCTCTCTCTCTTTGTCATATCCTATGATAAGATGTAGTGACTATTGCATATGGATAAGAGGAGGGGCTTATTTTACAAATAGAATCAAAAGTGAGTGATTGTGCCGGTGCTCTTGTGATTTAGAAATGATCTCTCAAGTGAATTTGATGCTGATGAAAGGTACCAGCCTATCTGATAATTCTGGAGCCTGAATCTTCTGTTGAACCCAGGTCATGTGCTGTCTTCCCGGCCTCCCCACCCGCAGTGTGCCTTAGCCCTCCCCTGGAAAGATCTCCTCATAGAGAGGGGAGTTGTCTCCATGCCCCATTCACACTTCTGCTGAGAATGCCAAGGAGGGGGCCAATGCAGGAGCATCATGAGGGTACATTTGTTGGGGGATGTGGGCATCGCTCTGAACTGTGACTTATCAACTCATTTCCCGTGAAGCATCAGACAGCTGTCAGATGGGAATGCCTTGCACTCAGTGTCCCCCAAGGTTGGATTTGAATGGGTGACCCGCATGCCATTCCCAATCCCCTGAGCCATGAAACTCTTGATCTAGAATTGAAAGACTCTGTATCCCACCCCCCATCTCTGAACCAGCCACCCTGTACAGGGAGGTTGTGTGTGTCCCTCTTCTGAAGTTTGTATTGTTTGTGCTAACAACACTGAAGTTGCTTCTGGCTTGTTTTCCCCTCCTTTGTAGGGGGCATCTTCTCAGTGCTGAGGTGTCTTGGAGCCCTGGCCATATGAGAGAACTGGCTCCAGCTAAACAGCAGCAAGGGTTCAAATCTTTCCTCCTTCCTTCCCCCATCCTGCCCTTCACCTCCCCCACAGGGGCTATTAAAATGCAAATACTCTTGAGTATCAGGCTGTCACTTGGTGGGAGGCCCAGCACTCTCTCCTCCCCTTCCTGGAGCTCCTATTGCTTACTTTCCTCACTTCTGTGCAGCTGAAAGCAAACTGGGCCCTGAGGGAAGGTGCCCTTTTCTCCTTGGCATTTGTTCTTTCTTAGTGCCCTCCTCTCTTGGCCAGGCTGTTGAACACAGAAAGAGGGAAGTGGAGGGCCACAAGGGTTACACATCTCTAAGTGTTTTCTATAGTACCTGTCACCATAGTATCTGTGTGCTGCACCCCCATTAATGCATTTAGCCTCACAACACCTCTGTGAGCTGGGGAAAGGTTATTAGCTCCATTCTACAGATATGGCAGCTGTGGTACAGAGAGATTGAATGACCTACAGAAAGTCCAGTAGGAAGCCTGTGATAGAGATGAGAATTTGACTCAGACCTCCTGAGGCTCAGTCCAATGCTTGCTTTAACCACAGGACTACCCTTCCTTCTTACACTTCACCCTGACCCCAACATACACCTCTCCAATTGCCTGGTCCCTTAAAGACGCACAGTCTGGTTGCAAATGGTCATAGGCAATATCATGTAGTTGTAACTGTGTCAATCCCAGAATAAGAGAGAGATAAGGTGGGTGAGGTAATGGCTTTTATTGGACCAACTTCTGCTGGTGAGAGAGACAAGCTTTTGAGAGAGCTTTTCTTCAGATGTGGCTTGAAAGCTTGTCTCTCTCACAGGACTGGCTCTAGGCACCAGCAAAGCAAGCACATGCTTGAGGCGGCATAATTCCAGGGTCAGCATTCCGGCCATCCCTTTTTTTTTTTTGCTTGGGCAGTTGTGCTCTGAGCTTGGGGCGGCAAAAAACCTAGAGCCGGCCCTGGTCTCTCACCAACAGAAGTTGGTCCAATAAAAGATAGTACCTCACCCACCTTGTCTGGCTATAGGCAATATCCAGAGCTTTGGCCCAGTCAGAGGCTCTGCTAGGCATATGAGCCTTTCTCAGATATCTGTAACCATGTGCCAATTTCCTGGTATCACTGAGGTTCATGGAGCCAGGTGCAGGGGGAAAAGATCAGCCAGTGTAATGGGAGATGCTGGGGATGGTGCAGAGGGAGAGGGGCTCTGCCCTGGGAGAAGATGGGGGACACTGAAGGTGGGCAGAGGGGGGGAGGGCTCAGCCAGGGTTTGTATTCAGCTTGCCAGCTTCAGCCATGCTGTGGTTAGAGGAGCACATTCTCTGACCTTATTCCCCTTGTACTGCCAGTCAGTTACAGGGAAGATGTTTCTAAAGGAATTACATTAAATGGGTTAAGGTGCGTAGTTCAGAAGCAAACAAGGAAAGAGGCAAATCTGGTCTTCTGGCAATTACAGTTCATTCAGTCCCGAGCTACTTCTGGGGGCACAGAGATCTCATGATAATAAATTGGTTAGTCTCTAAGGTGCCACTAGTACTCCTTTTCTTTTTTCTCATGAGATCTCTGTAGAGAGTTATAAGGCCACTCTTCTGCTCACTTTTCTGTGAGGCTGAAGGCAAGAGGGCATTTTCATTCTCCTGCCCTTTCCTGTCTGACCGTCCTGCTGAAAGACAGGAAGCAGCAGTCAGAAGATCCTAGGTGCTACCAAGTGGAGGATGCCCTCTGTGGGCGCACAAGTTGTGATAGAGGAGCTCCGCCATGGGCAGTGCCTTCAGTTAGGAGCCGAGTGTGAACGTGGGGTGGCGGCTGAAGCTCTGGCCTGCCTCCAGCGGGCACCCCCCTCCCCCCTGCAGCTCTTCCTGCCAGGGGTCACCTGGTGTAACACTGTTGCATCTGTGCTGCTGATCCCTGAGGCTCTCCCTCGCCCCCTCCTAACACTGCTCCCTTCCTCATTGGCTGGCCAGCTTCCCCCCGGCTCCCCCATTGGCTACCGGCCCCTCCGGCCGTGTGCACGTCCCGGCTCCGCGCCCTCCCATTGGCCGGAGGGACCCTCCCAGGAAGTTTTTTTAAAAAAAAAAAAGAAGAAGACGACGACGACGACGACGGGGGGAGGGGGCGGAAAAGTTTCTGGGCGGCTGGGAGCGAGCGGAGGGAAGGAGCCGACGGCGGGGCGGGCGCCGTGGGAGCGCTGAGGCCGGGACCCTGCACGGGCTGGGCTCCCCCGGCCAGCGCTGAGCCAGGGCCGCCCGCCCGCCCGCCATCATGACGGTGAGTCGCTGAGAACGAGCCGCGGGGTCCGGCCAGCGCCCGGTGGGTTTTACCGGGGCCGCCTCTCTCCTGGCGCGGTCGGGGGGGCTGCGCGGTGCCTGCGTGAGCCGGTGTCGTGCAGCTGCGGGCCGACGTCTGCTGTGCCGCGCCCCCCGCGGGGGCTGGGGCTCGCCCGGTCCTGAGCCGAGCTCGGGGGGTGGAGGGGACCCAGCCTCTGGCTCTTCGGCTCGGCTGGGGGGTCCTGCCGTGCGCGTTCGGGAGGCGCCCGTTTCTGCAGTCTCTGGGCTGCTGGTCCCCTTGCATGGATCGCCGCCAGCCTGGCCTCCCCACCGCCCCTGGCACTGCCCGGCTCTTGTGGTTTTCGTTGCCTTTTCTTATTAACAGGAAGTTAAGCAGCAGCTGTTTGCTGGGGCCCCGGGGCGGGTGGGTCTCTTGGGATGGCATGACTGCCTGTGCGAGGGGCCGGCCCGCTTTGGGGTGGGGGCTAGCGGAGGCACGTGCAGAGGGGGTTGTAGGCATGATGCCATCTCTGGGGGCAGCAGGGGCCGGCACGTGAGAGGTGGGACCGCAGAACGGGGGCGGGGCGGGGCTCTCCGAGACTGGTAACAGAGGAGGGTCTGCTCCGAGGCGACTGTCAGGGGGGCATTGGCTGTGCATACAGAGGGCAGGGAGGGGAGAAGGAGTGAGTGGGGGAGCAGGGCAAGGAGTTTTTTCCTCCTGCCCAGCTTGAAAAGGGAGAGAGACCCTGGTCTCAGAGAGCAGGGAGTAGAGATTGTCAGGCTGGGTCCTGGGCTGCATGGGGACCCATGGCGTGTGAGCGGGTGGGCTGGTGGCCAGGCTGGCTGGAGTCCTGCTGGAACTGGATGGGGAGGCACCAAGGGAGGCCGGGATGCGATGACCCTGAGCGCTGTCATGAGCTGTCAGCCTACGCTTCCTTACAGCATCACAACATCCTGCAGCTTTTCCTGTCCTTCCTGGTGACACCCCCTCCTTTTCCTCCTCCCCCTCCCCCATGTGGGGGCAGGCAGAGAGGGGCTCATGGCATGGGAACTTTGCCCAGCCTGGGCGAAGGAGTGGAGCTCCCTGGTGAGACACCGTGTTGTATTTCTCCTCCCCACCACCCCCCAAAATAATACAATGAATCTTCCCCCGTCACTAACCCCTCCCTCCTTCTCTTCATTTGTCTGTGTTTTCCCTGATTTGGGGAGAGCAGATCTACCTTGGGAAACAGCCAAGCAGTGCCCATGACTGTGGTGGAATGGCTGTTATCTCTAGGAGAGCTGGGTTCCCGCCGATTAGATACCCACGACTTAACAAATGCACTGCCTAAAGCTCTATTTTTTTTTTCCCTGTTCTGCCCAGATTTGCTGATCCAAGCACCCCCTGCTAATTCAACCCAGGAGGCTCTTCCCCACTCACTTCATCTCAGTCCTCAGCTGCAGCACCTCTGTGTGTTGATCTCCACCTCAGATATTTCAGTCCTGGGCAGGGAGGGTGGATGTGTGAAACACACCAACAGAAACTAAGATGCCAAACTTGCATCACTGATGACCTTGTTCAGGATTTGAACGTGGCCTTTATTTAGAAGCGAGAGGCCCTTGCACTGAACCCTGCTGTGCTGCTGTCTCCAGCACACACTGTAAAAGAGGATGTGGTTTCGGGGAGAGGCAGCAGTTGCCTCTCTCTGCTGAGGGTGGTACGGGAAGGGGACCAGCATTCCTAGGCCCTGGAGGGGGAAGGTTGCTGCACACAGCAGAATAATGGAGGTGACAGGCTGGGCTGTGCATCCTTGCGCCTGCAGGCAGTTTTCACAGGGATAGGCAGAGCACAACATCCACTTGCTTTCATAGCACGAATGAAATTGGGAGCTGTGTGGGCCCTTGATCCAGTGGGGGAGTAACTCTGCTTCTGTCCTGAGTCCTCTGTCACGTGAATACCCTTGTATTAACAAGGTGAGGGGGAAGGGTGTCTCCCTGGAGCTGAAATGTTTCAAAAGTCACTGTGTATGACAGAGAAAATGGAGCTGGTTCTGGCCAGTGGCCCTGGGGAACATCTGGGGAAACACAGGAGGTGGTGCTGGTCCCCAGAAGTTAGAATTGGAAAAGACCTATCAGATCACCCAGTCCCTCTCCCTGCAGCCAGGGTAGGATTGTCCCCTAAAGGATGCTTCCATAGGGTTCTAGCCAGTCTGGTTTTAAAAGTTTAAGGGATGGGGCCTCCACCGCCCCCCACCCACCCTTGACA